TCCAATTTAGAATCCATTTCAAAAACTCTCTAGTGCTATACCTAGAAACTGAAATGTGCTGGGAATCTTAGATTTTTGCATATATTTCCGTTACACTGGATTTGGGCAAAGATTTTTGTAAAGACAATAATTCTTTTTTCTACAGAAAATTTGATATTATGTTCTATTACATCTGCAATAAAAAATGTAATTTGTTTTTTAGGCTAAGTTCCTAGGTTTACATTTAGTCTTACTAATACTATTAGAGAAAATACACTTGTAGTTTATATTAACAATGAAACAAATTCTAGGGAAAGAAATGGTATCTGTCTTATCCTTGCAACTGGTACAGATAAGCTGTTCCTAATATTAACTAGTGTTTACATGCAGAAAAGCAACAAAAATTATTCTAGTCCAAATTCTAGCAGGCATACTTTATCAAAAGAGCACATAATTATTTCAATGGGGCTTTTAAAGTTTTATTCAGGGGCGCCTGGGTGGCGCAGTCGGTTAAGCGTCCGACTTCAGCCAGGTCACGATCTCGCGGTCCGTGAGTTCGAGCCCCGCGTCGGGCTCTGGGCTGATGGCTCGGAGCCTGGAGCCTGTTTCCGATTCTGTGTCTCCCTCTCTCTCTGCCCCTCCCCCGTTCATGCTCTGTCTCTCTCTGTCCCAAAAATAAATAAACGTTGAAAAAAAATTTTTTTAAATAAATAAATAAAGTTTTATTCAAATCAATGAGTCATGTAATATCTATCATTTACTTCCTAATTTACCTGATTAAAATAATCTATAAATAATATCACTAGTTTTCAATAAAATAAGACAAATGGACTATCAGCATTCCTGAGAAAACTCCATTGTAAAAATGAAGACACTGTATTAGTTTTGTGTCGAACATCACAAATTAAACCATTGAATCAACATTTCAAAGCAAAATATTTTTAAACTGCTCATACAAAATGGGTAACTAACCTGATAATAATGAAATCAATGGAAATTGCTACTTGCATCCCATTAAGTATTCACAAGAAGAAAAAGGTAGAATGCTTTAAAAAGGTGGGGGGGGGGGGCTCCATTTAAACCTTATTTATTCAAAAATAGTTTCCTCTTCTTTTCTTTTTCTTCTTTTATCATCATACCTCTTTAAAAGCAACTCGAATGCTCAGATGTCTCTCACAGTAGGCATCACATAATTTTTGCCATATTAATAATAACTTTGAGGAAAGCATCTCACATACATACATATTAATGTAAATTTTACTTTCATGATACTGATTAATAGTCCCCTGGGGGGGGTGGGGTGGGGGACAACAACAACAAGGCTCATCAAAGGCGTTTCAAAATCCATGCTTCATTATGGAAGTTTGATAGATATTCTTTAAATAGAGTTAATTTACTTTTCTATCAAGTGTTACAATGTCTGATATTTACTTGGCACCTGAAAGGTTTGGGAGTTTTCTTTGGTTTTTGTTTTTTGTTTTTTTCTTCTCTTTTCAAAGCTTAAAGCTAGGTGTGGTCAAGTTTTAAATACAAGAAGAAAGTGTGTAGCTTTTAATTTTCCCCATTTTGCAGAATTCAACACTGAGCCTTAGAAAAATAAGGCAGCTTTTCAAAAGTGACACCATTAGTGGCAAGAGAGAAGCAGAATTCAAGCCTTCTAAAACCAAATCCAGTGATTTTCCTACTTCTTCGTGCTGCCTCCTGGTGGCACTGAATTAGTTTCTCTTGGGAGATTTTTGGATACTAGATTTTCTCTTGGAGGACATTTAAAAACTGTTTAGCAACTGGTATTTGATGAATGACACAAAGAGAGTTACATTTAGTAAAGACTTAGATGGAGTTAAGGATTTTCCGATAATGGATTACTAATTTCTGACCAGGTATAAATTGACAGGTATAACTCAACTATTTGCTTACTGTGAACATTTCAGATTTGATTGCATTGGCCAGATGCACATGGAGAAAGTATCAGCTACATGGAAATAAGACACTCAAAGCACAAATGCACCATGTTTCAAGGCAGCCCATCCACCTCCAGGGACTACTATCCAGGCTTGTGGAGAAACAAGGAGCTAAACCAGACACAAGAAGTACCAACAAAGTAAGAGAGAACCACCAGCTGATGACTTCTACTCCCTAAAGAATCAACCCCACACTCTAGCAGGTTTCTTCTATATAAATTTTAAAACTAAATAGAACAGTCAATATTTTAAAACTAAATCCCATTAAAAAATTTATTAACTGATCATTGTAAACTAACTATAATTTTGGCATGGATTTGTTTCCAAGAAAATATTTAACCAAAAGAAAGAAAAAAGAATGAAAGAAAGAAGGAGGGAGGGTAGAAGGAAGGAAGAAGGGCAGAATGAAAATATTAATATTACATTTAAGTTTAAATTTTTAAAAACGTTGCTGAGAGAAGAAATAATAGACATACATGCAGTTAGAGTATTTAACCTGTCTCTCCTATCCTCTTTTCATTTCCTCATCAAACATCTTTTTAAAGCTCAACTGTTTTTCTTTCAGGAAATATGATCTTTTATGATTAGATAGTTCTTAAAGTTCTTTACACTGAAACAGCCCCTAAACCATAAAAGGAAAGGGCTTGGTGAAATAGTTCCTCATCAAAATTATAAATGGAGTCCCCACAGGTTGAGGGTTATGACAAAGAGGGAAACATTCATGTAAATTCAGAAAACGGATTCCCCCCCACCCCAAGCCCGCATCCTGCCTTATAGGTAAAATGCAACCAAATTGGAGAATCACTAACTGGCAAGCTTGTTTTTTTGTTTTTTTTTTTGTTTTTTTTTTTGTTTTTGTTTTTTTTTTTTTGCATCTAGTGACCTCCTCTCCTTGTACTACAGGAAAACATTTCCACCTAGAGTCCTTTCACAGAATATCTAGAGACCAAATGAAATCAACCATAATGACTACCAGAGCCAGATAATAATCAGTTTTTAATTGAAGCATCGAGCCAATTAATTTGTGACAACATCCTATCACCTCTTATTCTTGACATGAAGTTTCAGAGGACTCAAAAACAGTTTTCAGGTCCATGGCATCCCTGGAACATTTCAGTGTTTAGTTTCTTTTAAAATCACATTTATAGAGACAGAAAAACCTCTTTGTGGAGATAGAGTCCTAAAACTGAATCTGAGGTTACAAACCAGCCTCACTAGTTTGATTCAGTTAAGTGTCAAGAAACACAACATTTTTTATTCATCATGTACACAGATTCCTCATACTAGGAGATCTTCCTCTGGTTTCAGAGATCTCTTTCACAATGAAAGCTGAGCCCTTATTGTGTATTTGTCTTGGTTAATTCAATTCAACAAATAATTTGTATCTATCTATGCACGCAGATAAGTACATTTAGATTAGTAACTATTTTTTCGTCACACAATAAGATTTCTACAACAGTTTATTTTAAGAATGTAAGCCATCCTTTTTGAGATTTCAACAAGATATTTATTCTTGTCTTTTACCCAGAGCTCCATACAATGCAATACATTTAACGACAAACTTTATATAAATCTTCCTTGATATCATGCCATGTGTTATTCTGGAATGAGACACATCAGTAAATTGGCCTGTTTTCACTTGCACTAAATTACACTTATTATATAATATTAACTCACATATTTACCTTGATCAAAAGTAACGGATGCCCGACACATAACCAAACCACTACGGTCCTCACCAATAGCCAGTCCATTCCATTTAAATTCTTAGGGTGAAATATCAGACAGTATCTCACAAAACATTTTACTGTTTTTCAGCAGGAAGTGCCTCATGTTTTTCTGCCTCACACTCTAACTGTATTGGAAGTAAGGCAAGCTACAGAATGATGATGGTAGTAACTACAGAACATCCCCTCCTTTTAAATTGCTACCCACTGCTTCATCCCTGAAAAAAGAAATATTTGGCACTCCTTCCCTATGTGGCCCAATATTTCACAAACGCTGGATCTCAGGTTTTATTCAGTATTCCTATGACAGTCCATGGCCCATCACATTTCCTGTCTTCCTTCAATGTTATTCTGCAGGAGGTTTATTATCACAAGTCATGTTTGTGAAGAGCCACCTTTGGAAGACTGAAATTGCATTACTGCATGTAAAATGACCACATATGGTATGCACAAACACAACACAGCACAATGAAAATCACATACATTTCCTGCTGCCTGACAGACACGATGTGATCACGCCAAAGCACACACAATACCCGCTTTTTTTTTTTTTTGGCCTAGACACAATCATCAAACATACTCTGTGCCCACCGTGCCCAAGGCAATATCTAGCAGAAATTATTTCTGTTAGTAGCTTGAGCAAGGATTATGTCAAAGACAGTGTGAAATGTGAGCTGAATGAGACTTCATCAAATAATCTGGAACTCCAAGGCTATTTCCCAGCACCCCCCACCCTATACACAAGCTTAAGTTCACCCTCCTTCCTTCCCTGATGTTCTGGCCATGACTTCCCTCTCATTCTCCTCTCTCTCTCTCTCTCTCTCTCTCTCTCTCTCTCTCTCTCTCTCCAAGTCTCTCAGCAGCTTTGATCCGTTCTCAGAGCCAAACCCTTGGGAAAAGAAATCAGTTAAATGCGAGATGGTGAGACCTCATCATCAGGTGAGAAGGACAGGGGAGGAAAAGAAGAGGGTGTGGTACTCTTTTCTTCACCACACCCCAACCCTGGAGTCGCGCACTCAAGTCCACTGCGGCTCAGGGGAGCACAACGGGTCCCCTCGCTCACCTTGGAGCAGCCCGGCCCCAAACCAGCCACCCGGCACTCTCTGCAGAAAACTTCCCTCAAAGCAGTCAAATATTCGGGGGGGGGGGGGGGGGGTGAAACTGGAGACTAGTTCGAATACACATTCTACGGAGCTCCTCGGAACAGGACTGAAAGGCACCTTTAGATATGGACCCTACAGACCCGCACCCTCCACTCCCTCCCACCTTGCGCGTTAGGCTGAGGGGGTACGGAGAAGCGCGGGGCGAAAGGAGTGGAGAAAGGGGACGTTACCTCCCGGGACTGCCCTCAGGGCGCGGGCCAGGATCGCCCTCTCGAAGTGTCTCCGACTCTGGGGCACAGCTTTCCCGAGCTCAGCCCGGATTCGGACCCGCGTCCCCCGCAGCTCTGCGCTCGGCCAGGAGGCGCGCCAGGACTCCGGCTCACGTCCCCCGCCCTAGCCGGGCTCGCCTCCCCCTGCCGCGCCCGCTCCGCCACCCCGCGGGCACGCTCGCTCCCCGCGCTCGCCCCTCCGCCTCCCGGCGCCCCCACACCCACCCGCTCCGCGGCGCCCGCTGGGAGCCTCTAGCGGAGGCGAAGGGAACCGCAGCAGACCCGCGGCGCCTGGGCTCCGACGCCCGCTGCACGAAGCCAGCCAGGCGGCGGCGTGGGCTTCGCGCGCCCAGCGATCCGCCGGCCGGATGCCGCCGCCCCCACCTGCCCACCTGCGCCAGGCTCACCTGCCACCGCGTCCTGGCGGCGTTCGCCGGTGCCCACAGCGCTGAGTGGCCACCAGGGGATGGGTCTGCGGTACTATCCGCGGTTTAAAAAAAAAAAAAAAAATCTCGACGGAAACACACGCACGAATCCACGCTGTAAATCAGCCCAGACAAGTCGACCCAGCTACACACCTATTTCCAATAGGCTCCAAAAAGTGTAAGGTCAGGACACCAGAACACTCCCTTCGGTTGCTGCCTCCCACCTGGGCACCGGCGGCACCGGCTACTCCCTGACTTGTCCGCTCCAAGGCACTCGCACGGCTTGAGCAATCTATTAGCGACGCCCGGAGAGATCATCCTAACTTGGCTTAAGCCCCCACCCCATCCCCGACATCTATTTTAAGTTATTCTTCTTCCCGGCGGTGCTTGTGCTGCCTCTTACCTTGAAACGCTGTTAATTCTCGTTCGCGTCCTTAAAATCCAAAGCCAAGGATGCGTTGCACACAAGTCCAAGCTTTTACTTGCCCCCCCCCCACCCACCCACCCCTGGCCTCAGGTCTGCCGGCTTTTCCTTCCGAAGGGATCGGGAGGTGATGGCGGTTTCAAAGCCCTCGCGCTGGAGGCGCCTGTAAATCTTCACGCCCGTGGAAACGGGGACGGGGACAACCTTTCCGGCGTCCGGAAGCCTCCCAGCCCCTCCTCCGTCAACTTGGCTTTTCTATTTAATTTTCTTCTTTCGCCCTCCAGGCCCATCGGTCAGTTCCGCGGCATCAGGCAGGAGAGAAGCGCCTATCCTCAGCTGTGGCCGCTCCTCCCTTTCTCTGGATGAAAACCCCTCCCCCTCCTCTCCCCCGATTTGGGGAAAGCTTCTACCTTCTGCCCGGATTTGGGCGGGGGGTAGAGCACAGCTGAGAGGGGCTGGAAGAAGAGCCACTCCAAGGCACAGCTTCAGAAATCCATCTCCCTGGGCAGCCCTTCGCCAAGGTGCCCGCTCTGAGGAAACTTTGAGGGGAGGCAGCGGCAGCCGAGCGGGGCTGAGCGGGCGGCCGGCGGCGGGCGCCAGGTGAGAGCCTGCGAGGACGCGGCTGCAAGGAGGTGAGACGCCAGGCAGGCGGGCGGCAGGCGGGCGGCAGGCGGCTGGGTCCCGGCGGCCGGGCTCGGCGCGCGGGCTGCGCACACACACCCCCGCGCGCGCGCGCAGCAACACACGCACGCCCAGCCCCGCGCCGGCGGCCCCAGGCCACTGGCGAGCTAGAAGTCGCGAGGAGCGAAGCGGGGCAGGGGCTCCCCGGATGCAGGAGACGGGGAGACTCAGTCACTCCTCCCTAGTTAGCGGATTGCTGCTAGCAGGCAGTTCCTCGCCGCCAGCCCTCAAGTGCGTTCGGCCGCCTCTCTGGTCCCTGCCCTCCCAGGTATCTCGGCTCCCAGCCTCTCTTCCACGAAGCCAGTTACTCTCCGGGCAGCCTGCGTGAGGTCGCCGGACTAAAGATTAACCCGGTCCCGGTCTCCACCCTCCAGAGCCACCTCCGCCCCTTTCGCGGAGCACTGAAGTGGCTGCCGCAGCCTGCGAGGGAGCCGAGGGGCTCCCCGAGGTCTTTCGAATAGAGGAGCCAACGCATATTTTCCTGGAATATACAGTCCCCTCTTATGCCCCCTTTCCTGCGTACTCCATCACGTAACATTTTCCCAGGAGCCCCTGAAACTCAGGTAGATTGTTCAAAAAGGAACTGCCCAGGGATTTGTGACGCCCAGCTTTTGGAACCGGGCTAATGCACTGTCTACGCTTATATTGTAAAGTGGACGGTAGCAGGTGAAGGGCTTAGCTGGAGAAGGGGAGGGATTAGGAGTCTGGAGACTCAGCCCCTTTAGCAGCCATTTCCGACGTTTCGCACCAAGAGTAGGTGTCCTGCTCTCGGTCTAGCCCCTTTCCCAACTTCTGCCTCTTCTCTGACAGCCGGGAAGGATCACTGGGTGCCACCCAGCTGGGGAGCCCCAAGCCGGAGACACTCCTCTCTCAGAACCGCCCCAGGCTCTTTCACTCCTCCCCGGAGAAGGAGACTCCCAGCGGGAGGGAGTTTGTCTTACCCAGACTGGGATTCTGGAAATGCTCTCCGAAAGTAAACTTTTACCCTCCGGGTTTTGGGGTTTTTTTGTTTCTTGGTATTTTTTTTTTAACCGTGGCTCGCCTTTGTGCTCTGGGAGGTCGCTACACCAGCTGAGCGTTACTCTGCCATCCCAAGGGCTGGCCAGGCCGAGGACTGCTGTGGGTTTTTTTCACTCCAGAGCTTCGAGAATCTCTGCAGCTTGGGACCTGACGGAAGGAAACACAGAAAGTTGCGCAGCGAGGAGATAGCGCGAGCTTCTCTTGCCCCCACTCTGGGCGCCTGGCTCCGCCAAGGTCTCCCTTCAGGTAGCTCTTGCCTGGCTCTGGGAATCCGCTTCGAGTTGAAAGGCAGCCGACTTTGCCGGGAAGACAGCGCATGAACGCCAAAGCCGAAGGTACAGTTGCCGAGGCGCAAAAGTGGAACAAGTGGATGATTTGGTGCAAAAGATGAAACTTGCGTTGATAGGAGTCCTAGCGGCGCTACTCACAGCTCAGAAATACATCCAGAGCGTTCGAAGGTGAGCCTTGCCGCGCGCAGAGTCTGTGGACCAATAGCTACCAATTTCAGGAAAGAACCTGCTTTGGATTCCGTTTGAGCCGACTCTGGAGGAAGCAGAGACCAAGGGAGACTGTCCATTTGAGAGTGTGATGGATCATTCGATGCTGTCCCTCGGAACCAGGGAACCTCTGGCAACACCTCGCTAACTTGCGTCTGTGCAAAAGGCTACTCACACAGTCACGCTGGGGGAATCGGAGCGCGCAGGTCCCACGCACTGGCTTCCCTTCTGATGCAGTTAAGAGAAAAGCTTGAAGCTCAACCCGGGAGCCTGCATGAAGAAGTCAATAATGAATTTGGTGGTGAGATACTAAAGGATGAAGAGGCGTTTAATTTCTGTGTGAATTAGTTTGCCCGGAGCGACTTTTTAGGTTTAGTATTCCAAGATGTATCACGGACAGACACCGACTTTTTGCAGAATTGCAAGTGGAGGATGTTCCCAGTGTTTTTTTAACCCGGTGTAAATCTGTACATTGTCAGCTTGCCACAAGGTTGGAAGCTCCTAGGAGTTTTGATTCTCACTCATAATTAATAAGTCCTAATCGACTGTTTCTGGTAATGAAGTGAAGTGGCAGTAATAGTTATAATGAACTATTTCCAACAAAGGCCATCTACCTTGTGATTTCTGTTGACATAAGCCTACAGATTAATAATAAAATACTGTGGCTATTAGACAAGAATTGCAGAACTTAGTGGAGGGACTTGAAAGAAAATTTGGAATTCAGAGTTTACTCCTCTTCATAAAGATTCTGGCTTGTAATTCCTTTCCTGGTTGCTGTTTTTGTGTAGGCTGCTGTCTGCTACTAAGGGGCTCTCTTTAAAATAAGTAAACAGGACTTTTACACATTTCGTACCTGAAAAGTTGTCTTATAGTTTTGGAAAATGTTGTGGAAGGTCCGAGGAGTATTTTTCACTTACCTTGAGCTTTTGGTTTACAAGATGTGTAGGCAACAGTGGTAGTCAGTGGTATGATATTTCTTGATATTTAAGCACCTTCAATGAAATAAAAAGGTCTGTGGATTTATGGACTCTTCAAGAAGCATTCACTTCTCCTCAAAAAGTGCAGTTTCCTCAATGACTTGATTATTGCAAAACCAAACTCACATTTATTGTTATACAAAAAACAAAAACAAAAAAAATAAAACAGGACGTGAGGGTGTGAATCACTTTTCCCTCCCACTTTTCACACTATGCTTTTATGAGGAAAAATAGTTGACAATAAACAAAAGAATCAAATCTCAAGGTCAGTGGATTCACTTCATTCCCTATACTTCAGATGAGTCTACATTATCAAGAAAAAATTATTGAGGCTCAAAGGTACTCCAGGAGCCCTCCAAATCCCACCAGTAAATTAAAATAACTACTTCATTGTTCCGGTGTTATATATTTCCCTATATTCTGTGACAAGTGAAAATTGAAGTTGGTATATGGTATCTCTTCCAGTGGAGACTTTCTTGAACCTTTTATTTCTTCGAGATCACTGCTGGGGAAAATGTATTTTCAGATCACTTTTCTTCCCAGGAGATAGCATTTAATCTACTGGTGTATTGCTTGTTATAAATTAAAGTTATTCTTTGCTTACTGGCATGCCTTTCCCACTGTACTGTAAGCCCCAGGAGCAAGGATGGTGTTGTAAACATTGCTGTCCCCCAACATCCAGTACAGAATCTATCTCAGAATAGATGCATATAATAATGTTGGGGATGATAATGAAAGCTACCATTTACTGAGTAACTACTATATGATGTGATTGATGTACATTTTCTCAGTTGATCCTCTTTATAACCCTCTGATCTAAATTGTATATTCTCAAATTGTGGGGAAATTGATGCATATGTAAATTTACCCAAGATCACAAAGCTATTTTCACAAACGAGGTGGGATTAGACTCTATATGTGCTTGACTCTGAAGCCTGGACTATTAACAACTTTGCTCTATTCAAATAGCCAGGAACCACATGTTCCAAATATATGTGTATATATATATATATGTATGTATGTATTTAATGTGGAATATAAGAATATGTCAAATTTAGAATAAATTCCTTAGCACTAATGCAGTATAATCAATATCAGTTTAAGTGTGGAACAT